AAACTTGCGGGAACTATTATTTTGGAAGTTATAGCCTGACAAAGTTTGTGATTTTACATTTATACACCTGCGCACAACACATGTGTATACTGCCACGTGCAGAGTCTATAATGAGTTTTGATTTTTGTTTTACATATTTTGTACATATATTAATATACAATATCAGTCTYTTCACCATCATTTGTACTTCTAAGTTAAAGTAACATACCTAAGTATAATATTAAAGTGGCTCCYTTCAACTAATGGTTCCGGTCGCCAATAATTAGAAAATGGGGGCTMGCCCTCCCTCCCATGGAAYTAAATTAGCCAACCTTGGGGGGAGGACGACAGGCATCCCYGCCCTTTGAGCAGACAGATTACCTAACAAATAAACCTTGTTAATTAAAGTTAACAAGTTAAATACATMAGTTAAACACAAGTTCAGTAGAGCTCTTAGCCTACTGGCTATGGTAGCCAAATTTAAGGGACTCCATCCAACTACCGGCACCGGGCAGTTAAATTTCAAAGACCAAACAGTCCGAGTAAAAAACTCGCCTATGTCTACTCTGCGYGGCATTAAAATAATGTTATACGCGTACGTATAAACGTAAAATCGCAAACTTTGGTCGGCTGTAACTTCCTAACTAATAGTTATCACAATTTTTATTTTGCATTATCGTTCTTAACTCATTGAAATACCTTTGATTCGATAAAAAAAAATCAAAAAACATGGTGGGTAGCCAAAGTGAATTTATACCAAATATTGTTTTACAAAATATATTAGACTACTTAATTTCGATACGCGTTTGACAAATCGTCGATGTTAACAACCACATGGTCGATATTTTTTTTTTTTAAATATTTCAAAATATTAACACAAATCGTTGTACTTACCCATGATGTATTACGATTTATAAATGAGCGGTGAATACACAATAAGTTTTTCTGAAGAAATGAAGTTCGATTAAATACAAAACGTGAAAACCACGAACGTACACAGAAAGCAAAAGACCGAAATGAGAGAGAGATCGGCGACGACGGAAACGGTACGATGCCAAACAGTCTGTACTCTGTAGTTTTAGACTTTTAGTCAACTCGGTATACAGTTTCACCAACGTATTGAACTAAATATGGTGAAACTGTATTGGAAGATTCTAACCGTGGTTGTTCACGACAATCTTTAATCAACCACTGTTATGAGTTAGGTTAAGCCGTAGTTAGGCCAGGGCCAAGGTTAATATAAATAATATAAATCTATTTATATTAACCTTGCCAGCAGCCGGCTGTATGACGTCCCGTTTGCATATTGATAAAGAATTTTTATCACAGATAATGATATAATTGATAAATATTTTTAATTGTTATGAATATTGAATACTTTGTTAACAATATAATATTGACAATATTAACATTTTAACTTATTATCAACTTATCGTTTAAGCAATAATTATGCATTTATGCCATAATGCTACATTTAACTTTTTAAATGGTCTAGAACTTGCAGCTTACGATTTACAATTTGAATTTATGTTCAAAAATTTCGCTTGTGTATAACAAGTAGTGAATAGTTGGACAATCGCTTACACTTGGGAAGTTTACGGTAAATGGAATCAGAGTTTTTTTTACTGTTAAGCAATTATGAATATTATAATGTCAGACAACAGACTTGTGTTGAAGTCTTCAGTACAAGAATCATTGAAACACTCGTGCATAGAATATTGTGTAGAAAAACGAGAAAAATGTTCTAATACAGAATACCTCATCATTATGATGTCATTACTTTTAGCAGCATATTCATATTTAATAAATCCTACAGTATTAATTTCAAAGACTGTTTTCATTATTGCAATCGTCTTGTTCATAATCGGGTTAAGGTTTAGTTTTAAAGTTTACAACGAATCATTACTCATAACAGCACCCATTGGATTACAGTTGACCACAACTTACATGACTGGACATCAAAGAGTGTTTTCTATACCTTGGCATAGTATTACTGATGTACTCATTGTTGACGTCATTCACACTCAACAAGTATTGTATTACTTGGCAATTAAAACACCACAAAATGGAATAGTTACATTGTTTCAGAAAAGTGCACCAAGGTTACATTTTTTAGAAATAATATACAAGGATGTTTACAAACTATTAGAAAATAACAGATGAACTGACTTTGTGGATATCAAACTTAATATATTTTTATTTTGTTACATTATAAAATTGATTATACGTCCATTTTGGAAAAACGCGTTTGTATAAATTCAAACATACAGTATCTTGAGATTTTACTTGACCGTCAAATCCACATTTCATGTGTCCGTGAGTACCTAAAATTAGAAATAATGACATTTAATACAAATAGAAGTAATTTTTAAACATGTGTATATCCATTTATGATTTTATTTTAAAATAAACGAAGTTATAAGTTTTAAAACATACCTAAAGGTTCTTTAATATGTCCTCTCCTTCCATACTTGGTGCGTAGTTCAACTGGTTTAAACCAATCAATATCTTCTCGATTGAAAAACATAAACCTAACAACAGCTGAATGTTTATGTACTTTAAATGGATGGCCACTCAAAACTGTTCTTTTCACAATTACACGATCTGGATTAACTGATAATACATTTCCATTTCCAATTATTTGCTGAAAAGATAATTAAATTAAACTTAACAAGAGTACAAATGCCAAATGTATAATTTGTCTCTCAAATAATACAACATGAAAAATATTTGAATACTTACAAATGAACCACCTTTGCAGTACTTCATGGCTATAACTGAGGAAGGTGGATAGACAATAGGTGCAAACATTGTAGCAACAACTACTGAATCTTGGTGAAAAAATCGTTCATACTAAAATAATGCGATAAAATAATAAAAGTAACTAAATACAATTATTTATTTAATTTACTTTAAATTTATTCCCATTGGTATGTTGACTAAATATAGGTTCAGCAGTGAATCGACGAAAACCACATTGAAATATAAGTTCTGATTTAGATTTAATTGGTTCGTCAAAATGTACAGTAGATKGTCGTTTTAAAACAACATTTAGGACAGACATTTTTTGTTCATGAGGCATAAGACCAAATAATACAATAGGATTACGGGCATCTCTTGAATGAAACATTTTAGATGGTATATTTTTCACATGTACTGTAATGTACCAATCTGGCTAAAAATGCTTTTTTATATTAATTATACTGGTTAAAGAGAAGAATCCATGAAGAATCCATACTACATTATTTACCATGGCACCAGTTATATTTTCCAAATTTTTAAAAATCCTTTTCCTTGTTCTATCAAAATTTTCAAACTGAAATATTCTAGCATATTCTGCTGGTAAATTTTCTTTAACATCCCATGGCGATGTGCGGAATGATTGTAAGCCTCTATACTTYTGAAAACGAATTCTAGCAGGCACATCATTAGGTGTATCTACTTCATCAGGAAACATTTGATCAGCTTTTGCTTCTAGAATAAATATATATATATATAAGTAGCAGATGTGTTATTAATAATTTTAATCAATGATATAAAGTTATAAAAACAGGYCACACTTTTAATACAATAGGTATACATATATGTCTACTAAGTTTTAATATCTAATTATGTCCAGAGTGTAATTTTACATATKAAAATRATATTTRAACAATATAATATTGATTGGATAAACTGTAATTATTATTTTGAATAATAATTGTAACACTATAATAAATKAATGACATGATTTCATATTTATTTTAAAATAAAAATGCAAACCTTTAATTTTAGTTAGTATTTTTTCCTCTTCATTTATATCAAATTGCAAATCATATTTATCAGCTTCAACTGGGGCTTCAGAAACAGAAGTCATAGACATAGTTTCCATATGGTCATCTATCATACTCTTAGTTTCATTATCAGAAGTTTCATCTTCAATTGAATAAAAATCATCAGAATCTTCATCAGATTCTAAGTTTTCCCCATCTGTTCAAATGAAATATAAATCAAAAAACAAATTATACAAGCTATTATTGTAATTTATGAATAAATATATACCATGATCAGATTCTTCATCAGGAATCCAAGCTGATTGATAGACAGACATACCCTGAGGTACACGTTTAATCATGCGTTTATTTTTTGTCGTTGCTTCTTTTATTTCTTCATCAGTAGGCCAAGTTTGTTCAGCATCCATTGGATCAGGGATATTTTCACAAACCAAATCTTCCTATAAACATTATTGTTCATAGTACATGTTTAAAATTAAAATAGTGTTTAAAAAAACATACTTGTAATCCAGGACTAGCAGTTTCCAAGACTGTAGTTTGCACATCTTTCCCAGAAAAACTCTTRATAAAATCATTAGAGGATAAATCTATTTGTTCCATTTGAAAGTCACCCCATCCTGGAATATGTACTAAAGAATTAACAGAAAGGGTCTGTCCTTTCAAAAATCCACTAACTTTCATAGTACCAACATTACCCTAAAATTAAATTAAAAATATATATAATTTACATAAAATTAATTCAATTTTAAATATACTAACATCAGAGCTAGGGATAAAAGCCAATTCTTCAGCTAATAAATGTGGACGCCTATCACGGAATGTAATAGACCTTTTTTTTTGTGAACTTATACGTCTAAGAACATTCAGAATGTCTGTTGATGTATCAATTTTGCTGACTTTTTCATCAGGTAGCCAATTTTCTATATCTTTCTGAATGCACTGTTTTGCTTCATTTTGTTTCTATTAAATAATTGTAAATAAGTATATATACCTATACTCTGTCCAGCGAGAGAATAATGCGTGGATCGACAAAAATYGGTTCTCTATGCATCTCCATGCGACACTGGTTTTTATTGCAAAGTAACACACAGAATTAACGTGTTCTTTCGCTGGCAGAGAATAGAAAGACTAAGTAAAATATTAAAAACTACAAACTTTGAGAGGTATTTTTTCAAGGTCTGTAATAGCTACAACAGTTGAAGGAAGTCCTTGTGCTAATATACAAGTCATTAGTAAATCAACATCTTGATCAAAACCACCTTCAGCCGAAACCATAAACAAAATTGTGTCAACTACTTTAAGTGTATCTAAGAGTCCAAGAACACTACTACAGTCAGGTCTTATGAAAGTRAATGCTTGTTTGAATTGTTCAACCCTAAAATGAAAAAAAAAAATTAATGACATTTAATAAATCAGTATTTTTAACCACACGTTTGACGGAAATTGATGGTTAAAAATATATGATCTCACATTTTAAATATTATAAGGCTATTATTTTGGCATCATTATTTAGTTTGGTATTGAATCAATAAAATATAGGCAGCAATATTGCATGTTGTTAAAAAAAATAGCGTGTTAGGATCATATATTTTTTAAAATAAATTTCAACTGTTGATGATACAACAAATTAATACCACATAATTAATGTTAATACTAGGAAAAAACAATAATTATACTATATATATTAACCATAAATGAGAGTATCCTTCAGAAGCAACAGCTGTTGTTAATTTTACATCCGTGTTTTTTAATACATTGATCATCTCCATCAGTTTTTCATTAACAAACACATTATTGCTCAGAGGTATAACGGCAACTAAGTGAGGTACATTTAAAGACCTACGTTTTTCATTCAAAACATTTTCTGTTTTTGTTTTACGTAAAATTTTAGCTTGATGCCTACGTTCCATACGACTCAACTGATGATTAGCTTTGGATTTGGCTAAATTCTGTGCAGAACGTCCTAAAGTAAAATATTATATTTTTAATAGCATTTAAAATTTTAATTCTAAAGTATTTTTAAATACCTTTTTTCAATATTTCTAGAACTCCTTTACTTCTGTGTCGACCAGTTTTATGTTTTTTATTGTCCTGTTTAGCTGGCCCAGGTCTGTGGACCGCTGGGTCATTGTTATTAGGTTTCATTCCAAAAGTATTAATTAACAAAGTGGATATTAAAACGTTCGAAGTGAATCCATAAACTACGCACTATAGACAGTTCAACAGTTAGCCTTAGTAAATAGGTAGTCAGTTACACATTTTTAATTTACATGCAAAGTCACAATCTCACAATGAGTAAATTGCACATAGCACGTGCCCACATCGGACATCCATATATTTTCCATGATACATACGTTAAATCACTAAATCAGAGAAGATATCTTATCTACATCGTGCGTTTAATCTTTCATATTGTTAACATTTATCAATGTTTTCCAATGTYGCCACATGTCAATAAATGAGAAAAAAAAACGGAAGTTGAATTCAGTGTTGCCAGACTATACGCGAAATCATATTAAATATTTTAACTTGAAAGTTCAAAAAATTTCAAAATAGGATGTACTGAGAACTATATTACTATGTATACTGTATACAATTTCAAGCCCATAAAATAAGTGAAATACAATAGAGACTGGGGACTTGTCTTTGGATGATATTGCTAATATAGGAATATGTGTTTCAACTGTTTCAAGCACGAACTAAGTTAATTAGTAAGTCTTAGTTTGTGGTTTCAAGTCATTGCATATTGGAACAAGGGTCCATTCACAGTATATGATCATTATACAGACTTATATATTCTTTGCTTATATACTAACTATACTTTGTATAGAAATCTGTGACAGATTTTTAGGTTGAAAGTTTTACACATCAAATGTAATCTACATAGTATGATTATTGGTTATAAAATATAAAAAAAAAATACACATGTACATATTATTTTTCACATAYTCCCTCTAATGTTAAACATAATGTTTCCACGTAGTTTTAAGACCAATACTTTGTAATTTATTACATGCTAATGATTTCAGAAGTTGAAGTCTAATCAACCTAATAATAATAATAAAAAAATTTTAAGTAAAATATAATTATTATTTATTAGTTTCAGCAAATCATATTTTAGTAATACTAGTTATATAGTGATAATTATAATTTTAAACTAATGAAGCATAATGATAACTACAAAACTGAAATTTGATATATTTCACATTTAAAAAAAATTTCCTATTTAGAATTTTTTTTTAACTTTATATGTTATGMAAAAATATTGGAGCTATGATGCTTTCCACTTTCAACTATCAATAACCGACGCCATTATGCCACTGAAAAAAATTATAATTATTAATGGTAATAATATGGTAGTAATAATATTTACCTATTTAATATATCCCAACAGTCACTGCTTCACTAATGACAAGGAGTTGTGATTGACCTTTAATGGAGACATTTTATTGGTTTTAATCAAACTGTAATTGAAATAATTTTTTTTATAATTCTATGATTTTTATTGTAGCATTTCTAATAATTTAATTAGAAGTTGATTAAAAATATAATTTGTGTGCTATGTAGTTTATAAAATATGTGACACAAAATTATTAGGAATGGGGGCATCTAGATATTAACTCTTATAAATATTTTCAAAACACTTAATTTTATTAATTTACTTATTTTAAAGTACAGCCATCTAACTATCTATTTTAAAATGTGATTCAAGTTTTTAAATATTAATACATACATCAGTTATCAGTATATCTAATATACCATATACTCTATACAATTAATTAGTATAATTTCACAAACATGGTAGAATTATAGAATATTACAATAGAGCAAAAAAATGCATAACTTATTATTAGATAGTAAAGATTATTGAACTATAAATCACTGTTTACCAAATATTGGTCAATTAATAGAAATTTGTATTTAACTCAAATATAATTTATCCATGTGATGATAATTTACAAATATATAAATACCTACAAAAAATAATAATTATAAGAATCTTACAAAATGAATAATAATTATAATTATTTATTACATAGAGATAGGATTTTTAAAGTGAATATTATTGTTTCAATGATTTTGTTTAGTTGAAAAATTAAGACAGAACATGTCAAATAACACAATTTTACATATTAATAAAAAAATTAAAGAGAAAAGACTAGAACATTGTGAAGATGAAGAATATAATTAAGCACATTTGTATCATTTATCAGTATTAATTAAGTTGAATTGTTGCCGTTAACTGTATTTGAGTAAACATAACCTTGGTCTTGCAATATAGATAATCTTTTTTCTACCGCATCTCGATCTGTGTGATATAAAACATTAATTGAATTCATTAATACTAACATCATATAAATCATGAAGTATTAATTATTACATTTTATTAATATTTCTTTGTCACTTGGAGAGTTTACTTGCTGTGATAAACTATGCAAGAGTATCTGTGCTGTCTGATAAGATTTAAAATAATCATATGGTGTATTGCCCAATTCTTTTAATGCTGCTTTAGCGCACTAAAATATATTTATTGAGAAAAACAATATCAAATTGTAAATATGACATATGAGATCAGCAATTACTTACGATTTCTACAGCATAATCATATAATAACTTCTCAGCTGTTGTAGTAGATGATGATGTATTGTGTAGCATATTAGGTACATTAATTTGTTTACAGTCATCCAAAACTTTATGAAATGTTTCATTAAGCTGTTGTACCACTAAAACAAAAATTATATTTCTTTAAAACTACCAAAAATAAGTATTGATAACCATGTTTGTGAAAACTTTTAAATATGTTATTTTAAGACTTATAAAAGTTAATTTCTTAAAAATTATTAGTCATTAATTGATATAAATATTAATTTAAAGATTTAAAATGTATTCATAGCAAAATTTTATTTAAATAATATGCATATTATTAAAAAAAAAGGTTTTTTTAATATTTAAAGCAACTATTTTAATATGAATTTGTTCTTACCATTTTTAACATTTGTTGAAGGTTGTAATCGACCAGCTTTGAGTTCCGATGTAGCTATACTTAAGCTAGAGCTAAGTAATTGTAATGCTCTAATTAAAAGCACTAATCGTTCATAACGTGGTCTTTTAGGAGAAGCACATTCAACAATACATTCAACCAATGCTAATACAAAATTAAGTTTCGCTAATGTTTCTATGTGTTCTTTCTAAAATATAAAATAAAAGAAAAATAAAGTATTTTTAATATAATTTATATAATTAGTAATCAGTTTACTTCTAATATTGTTTCTTGTGGTAGTTCTGGAAAAGTTATGTTTCCAAGTTCTAAATAAAAAAAAACGTTTGAAAATAAATAATCATTATATTTTTAATTGTTCTCAACATTTAAAATAATTAAGTATGAACAGAAAAAATATCAAAATTAAAAATGATAATAAAAAGCTTTTTTTATTGTTTATACAATATATACAATCTGTTCCTTTAGGAACAATAAGAATATGTGATAAATGATAATAGTTATGTTACATTGGTTTGATGAAAGGAGTCACCCAGTGGTAACACTACCCTTACTTGTTTATTTATTTATTTTTTATATTAATCATTGATTATTGATTACGATTAACCTAACCTAACCTAAGATGATATTGACACMATTGCTTTTGAGCCTTCTAGGGTTATTTCTAGGAATTTAGAGAGTAGCAAGGTTTGATATTAAAAGAAAGTTTAGAGTGGTAACTTTTGTAAAAGTTATGGACAGTTTTGATTTTTAAATCAATGTGTAATATTAGGTTTGAAATGTAAATTGGAGAATTGGTGATTTTATGATGGATATTATTTTAGATTTTTTTTTTTGGTGTTACCCGAGAGTTATAAGCCATAAGTCCACATTGGCTTAAACAAGGTCTTGTACATTAAGAGTTTAGAGTAAATATAAACAAAATTTAATATTTTACTACTATAAAATTAATATAATTTTAAACTAATATTGAATTTCCAGGAATACAGTCATTCTTAAACATGTCRTGTTTATGCTGTCTTCCACATTGTCTCACACATATCATTACAATTTACACTGTTACAAATCTTGTGATTGTCTAGCCAAATTTTCCTATGGTATGAGAACCAGCCATATAACTACCAGCTTAATATATAAAAAAGAGCTTCAATTTCTAAAATGACTACCCATAAACAATTTTCAATGATAAAATCGATGTTTTCTACTAATATAAGCAAGTCATCCCAACCATCAGTTATTTTATACCAAAGTCTTCACTAATGAGATATCATCAACTCTTTCATAATAGTCACGACAAACAACAACAAATCAGTGGTGGCCAAACAAAATAGGGAGTGGTGAMAGGGATGAATTCCCCTATGATATTTTGTTAGATAGGGCTAAATCTAACCTAACATGTTAAATATTTATAATAATGTAAATGACATTTTAATGATCAAATAGGGCATGTTAGAAAACCAAAATCACTCGACCACCACAGCAACAAATAAATGTCTAGATTCTTTAAGGAATTTAAGTCACTAATTAAACCCTCTAGTTACTTTTTTAACCTGTCTAAGTACAACTCTCTTTGGAATTAAAATACAAATTCAAAAGTATGCACAGTAAAAATATATTTAAATCACATGCCTAAGGTCACTAATGGGTGCTTTTAACTCAGTATAATCCATGTGCAAATTATAGGTACAGATTGTGTATATCAAATAAAGAATAAAAACTAATACTAAAAATGGAAGTAAAAAATATATTCAATTTATTTATTCATAAAATGTATAATAATTTTTAGTAAAATCTATAACCTAATATAAACAAGTACTAATGTAAGTTCTCTTTAAGCAGAAGTAAGTATCCTTATTATCAATGTACCTAATATATGCATAAACAATGTTTGTTGTTTCATAGTCAACTAAAAATTGAAATATATCATAAAAATATGCAGTCTACCGTAATAAAATTGAAAGTATAAAAAAAAAAAAAATTATTTTTGTATCTTTTTTTTCAACAACAAAAATCTTGCACCAATTAAATCATTTTCCAAAACACAACATTATCTGACTACCCACGGTCCACCTATTCTCCAACCATAATTGTGATTAGTGTCTTCTTCATCTTCTTGTCTAGTTATAAATGCAGCGTTTAAATCAGT